AACCCCCCCCCCCCCCCCCCCGAATGCTACGAGGCGCCCATTCGCTCCTTCATGCAGGACCCTGTGTGCAACAGGGAACAGTGGCTTTTGGCTCGAAGACTGAACCTTTGGGTCTTCGGCTCGGATCGGCTCTGAATTCAATCTTTAGGCTTGGGGTTTAGGGGTTTAGGTCTTTGGGTTTTAGAGTTTTATGGTTTAGGGCTTTGGGTTTAGAGGTTTAGGGCTTTTAGGTTTAGGGGTTTAGGGCTTTAGGGTTTTAGAGTTTTAGGGCTTCGGGCTTTAGGGCTTTAGGGTTTAGGGCTTAGGGCTTTAGGGTTTTAGGGTTTTAGGGTTTTAGGGCTTAGGGCTTTAGGGTTTTAGGGTTTTAGCGCTTAGGGCTTTAGGGTTTTAGGGGTGTTTGTTTTAGGGTTTTTGGGCTTAGGGTTGGGTACCCTGGATGTCTTCTGGTGCCTTTGGCTGAATTTCTTATTCTCCTTGTGGGCGGTTCGGACGCGGCAGAGGGCCTGAACCACACGGAAGGAAAACAAGACATCCAGGGGCTGGATTTCTTTTATTTTCCTTTTTTGGGCGGCCAAACCCCCCGGACATGAGAAATCCAGGAGCTGAATATCGTGGTTTCCTTTTGGGCCCTCCGGGCGAAACCCCGGAGATAAAACATCTGGTGCTCAGTTTTCTTCGTTTGGTTATGGGCGGTCCGGTCAAAAAGCCGGGAATCAAAACATCCAGGGGCTGAACTTCTTATTTTTCTCCGGCCTTCGGGCGAATTCCGAAACTCTCGCCGATCTGCTGCACGACCCTCACAAAGTCCAGGAATCCGAAACCTCAGTGAGGTGTTTAGGGTGCTGCGCTTCTTCTCCTTTGGGCAGCATTTAAGAGCTTCGACAAGAAGTTGCTTTCGTGGGTAGGGGATCCTGAATTTCTTATCTCCTTGTGTGTGGATCTGACAGATTCTAGCACACGTTCGCCCAAATCAGGGGACTGAATTTATTGTTGAATGTTATCTTGAAGAGTGCTGGCGCTTTCCCAAAGGCTTGGTCCAGCGGGCGGAGGGAGACTGGACCACTTGGCCGGGATGTCGAATCGGAATAGGGTCTATGTACACAAGAGAGTAAAATGCAGACGGAACAACCTTCTTGGACCCTAAACCCTGAACGTTAACCCCGTTAACTGCTAGCCTTCGTTCAGTCAAAAGCTTGACTGACCTAAGCCCTTAAATCCTAACCGTAAACTGGCTTAAACACCTATGTAAAGTGATATTAGATTTCACTACCGGTACAAGTCCCGTCCATCATATCGCCGTGATCGCCGTCAGTGCCGATTTGCTAGTGCGATCTTGCAGACATTCTCTTGGACCCCTCCGCCCAATTAAATTGCAAAAACCCTTGGCCCAACGCCTAGACTTCTAGATTCTAGACGAGTCCTAGCCCTCCTGAGCCACACCGGGCTCCGTGCCGGTCACTAAAGACCTGAGTTGTTCTGCAAGCAGCAAGCTTTAGGGGGGTTGCGGGACGAGATTGCATGTCCCGGAGACTCCCAAAGTCGACACTTGAGGCATATGCTGTAACAGGAGTGCGAGTGGCTGGACTAGTGTTTCTTAAGACAGGGCCCCTGCTTCGAGAGATATCGAAGTCTCTGGATTTGCAGGACAAGCTCTACAAGAAGAGCCGCGGTATCAAGACGGGACCCATGGTGGTGTTCTACGGCTGCCGGCATGAGAAGGCACGGTAAGCCAGTATGCTCAAGTCAGAAACCGGAGGTTAACCCAAAGCCCCAAGCTTTCCGCCCAAAGCCCTGGGTGCTCGCTTCAAGCCCCTTTGTATGTGTATGCATATGCATATATATATATATATACATATGTATACTTATTTGTTTTCAATGTTGATTTATGTATTTATATTTATTTTTTCATCTATATCTATATTTCTGTACATCCATGTCTAGATCGATGGTTAAATCGTCAGATCGATAGATCGATAGATAGGTAGACAGATTGATTGATTGATTGATTGATTGATTGACTGATTGATTGATAGTTTGATAGTTTGATAGCTTGATAGATTGATAGATTGACAGATTGACAGATAGATAGATAGATAGATAGATGACACACACACACACACCCCACGCACACAGACACAAAGTTGCATGTCGTATTTGCCCCGTGCGATGCCAATCTCTTTTTCACAACCCCAATTCCGCCTCTCAATTAAAGTCGTGTCTGCGTTCCACTCTGCTCTGATAAACCCTAAACCCACCTGAACCAAACCCTAATCTCAAAGCCCTAAACCCTGAACAATCCGAAGCCGTCCGTATAAACCCCTGATGCAGGAACAATCCCAGTTGTAGGAACGAACCCCAAGCCGTCTAGATCCATTCAATGACAGCAACAACCCCCAAGCCGCATAAATCACTGTCTCAGGAACAAACTCCAAGCCTCATAAATCCCTGCATACCGACCCTAAACCCTCAACCCCAATCTAAACTCTAATCTAGACACCCTAAACCCTAAGCCCCAACCTAAACCCTAAACCCTAGGCTCCAACCTAAACCTTAAACCCTAAACCTTGTACGCCGAAGGAAGAGCTCCTCTACAAGGACGAGTGGAAGCTGCTGGGTGGGAAGAAATCGGGTTCGAAGGGGTTTCGGGAATTGACCGAGGGTCGGATTTAGGGTTTTAGGGTCTTAGGGGTTTAGGGGTTTGGGGTTTAGGGTTTAGGGTTCACTACTTTTTGGGGTTTTTCCGGGGTCGTAGAATTTAGGGAACTGCGGGCTTTCATCAAGTCAGAGAAGTTTTGGGTCCAGAGCCTAGTTTAGAGTTTCGGATGTAGAGTTTCGGATGTAGCGTTGTAGAGCTGAGGGCAACGAAATGACAGTGGGACAGAGAGCGAGAGCGGAGGGAAGGAGGGAGGGAGGGAGGGAGGGAGGGAGGGAGGGAGGGAGGGAGGGTCGGTCCTCAAGGGTGTTGGGAAGTTCAGGGCACATTTACTTTGCAGCTTAGGTTCACATGTATGGTTTCGACCATTCCGACTCTGTACGTGTGCTCAGTTATCACGTGCAACAGAGTAGGCGAGACTAGCAAAACACTCGACTAGTCCTTCTGAGAAGTGTTCGATGCTACAACCTAAACCCTCCAAAGCAAGGTCGTGGATGAGAATATGGATGCAAACTTGCAGAGGTACGAACATCTATATGAGAGCGAGCAGTCACGAATGATAGCGACTATGACGAAACTGTGGTTGAATCCAAGCTGATGTATGGTCTGATTTGTTTATGCCTTTCCGCAGCCGAACGGAGACGCCTGGATGGTTTTCAAAACCGATGTTTATGTCGTATCACTGGCATTCCGCCCTGTTGTCTTTCTCGTGTTCCAAACACGGCTGTTTTACAGCGTGCACACTGCAGTGCCGCTTCTGACATGCTCGTACAACGCCAGCTGCCTTTGTTCGGCAAGGTCTTAAGATCTCCACTGGACTCCACTGGACCATCCTTTGCACGTATCTGCTTTCATACCTGGAACTCTTCAGCTTGCTACCAGCAGGTACGTCAGGCGAGTAGGTCGACGGAGACGGGAATGGGTTTCTGAAGTAAGAAGTAGCGCTTTTCCGTATTGTGGCGGCCACCGTGAAGTAACCAGACTTGTACATGACCTCATTGTTTGGTATCGTACGGTTCGTCAAGCCGTACCTGTCTACGCGCCACGTGGCGTATGACTCACTGACTCACGATGGAGACAACCTTAGTAGTACTGTCTGCCATAAAGATCAGTTCTGTACAAACCATCATCAGCCTGGCCATGGCCGTCATCATCATCATTGTCGCCATATCAGTCGTCATAATCTCGTCAATTATAATAGTCATGGCTGCAATAATGGCGCTTGCAGCAGCGACAGTAAAGGGAGTAGTGTGGCGCCTAGAGATTAAAATTCGTTCTAGTGACGGGCTTACTTACAGCCCCACCTCCGGCATCGTACCACCCTTGTGGTTTAGGGGTTTAGGGTTTAGGGGTTTAGGGGTTTAGGGTTTAGGGGTTTAGGGTTTAGGGGACTGGAACCTTTTGCAACATTGTTGACACTTCCACCTCAGGCATACAAGATTGAGCTGCGCAAGACCTTGTACAAGCTTCTTAATCCATCTAGGTATTTCTATCCACTAAGGATGTACGAGAAGGAAGGCATTTTGAGTGCGCTGGTGGGCGCGTTCCAGCCACCTGCCTCAGACTTCGCATATGGAGTTTCAGGGCTGCCCGAACCCCCCACCGTAGGTTTAGGGTTTCGGGATGTTTACGATTATAGGGTTTAGGGTTAAGCGACCCTAACCGAACCCCTAAGCCCACGCCCCGAACACTAGCACAGTCGACTGCTGCCGGATAATGGAGCTGGGTGTGCTCCTATGTTCAGGTGAGCCTTCGACGGAATCCTCAAACCTTCATTCCGAGGGACTGCTGCACAATCTCTAGGGAGTTTTCCTCAGGATTTCCCGTAAACCCTAAACCCTTAACATTATCACAGGATTTTTGGACTGAGCGGGGGCTCCCTTGGCTCTTCAATCCGCTAGGACTCCGTAAATGCCTATAAGTTGCCAGCACCTTGAAAGCCTTTCTCTAGGTGGCGCGTTGGGAAACTTTGAAACGTTTTTCAGGGTTCCTATAGAGGTACCTATTCATAAATACTTTGGTTTAGAGGCCCCAAAACTACAATACCCAGTTCTTTACAGCTAAATCCTTATGACTTGAGTTACTAGCCCCTTGTAGCTTGTAGCGGCCTTACACGCTACAATCCTGAGCCCGAAACCACAACTCCCAAACCCAAAACCCCCGGCCCAAAACCCTAAACCCTAAATAGCAGTGCTTCCGAAGGCCCCAAGACCCGTTGTCCCAACCCTTCTGGTCAGAATGAAAATCTGCTGAAGCCAGAATTTATGGCTTGGGGCCGAATAGGGCTTCGGGTTTAGGGTTTTGGGTTTTGGAGTTCGGGGAGTGCCAGAACGGATTTTAGAATTTTAGCCTTTTCTTGGAGGGGTTCCGCCTTTGAATCTTATCTTTAACATGGTTTTTGAACAAGAACCCAAGTACCCAAGGTAGCAGTTCGGGGTAGCAATGTGTGCTAATCGTTTGAACCCCGCGAAGCCGCTGCGGATTCGCCGAATCCAATACCGGGTCTCCTTCTTGCACTTCTGCAGCCCCTCAAGAATCGATGCTGCGACGATGATGCAATTCACCCCTCTACTGTGAATCATAAAGTGAGCTTCGCTAGACTCTTCGCCCTTCTGCCTTAAAACCGCGCTCCAGAAACCCTACTATAGGGGCTGCAATAAGTAGAAAACGGCCTGGGGGTAGCATACATAGTCACCTCACCCAAATATCATTGGCAATTGTTTAGGTTTCTATAGTAATTAAGCCTAAACGTCAGCTCTGAATGCCTCAGGTTCGACAAGCCTCACTACCCACCGAAGCAGATCTTCGTTTCGGACAAGATGGCCGAGCGGCCCGAGCTGATCAGCGACAACCTCTTGGAAAAGGCTCCCTGGGCGGATGTGATCGAGTGACCCCAACCCCAAGATTCCGGAGTGGAAGGGCGCTTTGTCATGATTGCTAGCATGCAAGGTGGTCCTTTTCCAAGAGATGTTGAAGCCTGAGATGTTGAAGCTTCGCATTGCAACTACTCTATTATAAGCAGGCGGGGTTACTTCTGCATCTATTTAGTGCTGATGTTACGGGGCACTGGCACAGCTCCTGCTCGTATGTTTTCCAGATGATGCTTGCTTTCGTTGCGTTGTCTTCAGAAGCCCTGGGTCGTCAACCCCACTGTTTAGGGTTTAGGGTTTAGGCGCATACCTGACACCCGCTACAAGACTAGCTCATGGCCCTTGATTCTGAGGCAAAAAGCCCTCAAAGTCTTGAGTAATTGGAGTCGCAGGTCAATCCTAGATCCTCCCAGAACCCTAACACAACCCGTTACCTTCTAGAACCCTTACAGAAACGTTTTGGAATACATATAGAACCATTTATGGTCAGAATGGTTATGGAACCCCGGTAATCTGAATGGAGCCTAGAACCCTGGAGCCCTTCGCTTAGTTTTACATCCCATAACCACTCCGAAGAGGCTCCGAAAAAAAGTCCTTATAGGATGACACCCCTAACTCGATTTAGGATTGACTTGCTGCAGTCTAAGGTAGGGGCCTTGAGAATTTTAATAGGGTTTTGAGGTTCCTTATTATGAATTTAGTATAATATGCCCCAAGCCCTAATTCTAATTATTAAGGCCTCTATATTAACAGCCTAGGGCCTAGACATTGCACTCAGCAGCGAGTTACCAGTTTCGACTTCTGTCGGGGGATGCAGTTTGGTGACAAAGACAGTAGCTTAGTAGTAGAGTCTTAGTAGAGTAGGTAGCCAGATTTATAGCCCCTACATAATCCCGCAGTTTACCCGCTAGTTACCCTAGGACACTGGACGAGTAAGGTAATTACGAGCCGATGCTATGGCACCCTAAACCCTAAACTCTAAAGCCCTGAGCCCAAGTGGCCCAACTTCAATGCTCGGAAGCTTCTCGCCAGTCATGATGCTGCTGCTGGCGCTGATCGTGGCTATGCTGCCCCGCGTGCATTCCGCCAAGGAGGTCACGGGCCTGAGTGATTCCTGGATGGAGGACTTGGTCGCGAGCTTGATCGATCAGGACCCGTCGTCTGGGTCGTCAGACCAGGAGCCAGCCGGCTCTTCTGGCGGTGCAGAGCAGTTCGTACCATGGTGGCATCCATGTGATGCTACTGCTACTGAGCTTACTTGTTGGACATTGGCGCATGTACAGCCTGAGCTGCTCTCGAGGATGAGTTGGTTGTGTGCAGAAGTGCCCCTGAGTAGAATGGAATGCTGTTAGACTTGACGCCCTTGTACTCTGTGAGTGATTAGTTGGGTGCCTTGGTGTAGTGAAGTAGTGGTAATCATCGTCTTATTAAGATGTCTTGGTGGGAGTACAGTCAGTGTATGGAGAATTGCATGTTTGCCTAGTGTTGAGCTTGCTCTGATGGGTGTTGCTCTGCGAGGCCAGGGTTCGAACTCAGTTTTTGTTAGGAATGGTACGGGTGTCCAGGTTGTAGGCCGCCTGCATAAAGCAACTGCCTCCGCCAAACGTGGCATTCGACCTAACTTCACCAGGCAGGTGGAAAACAGGTGACAACAAAAAACCTGAGCCCTATAAATCCTAAGCCCAAACCCCAAACCCTAAACCCTAAACCGTTTGCAGCGCTTCCAGGGGTTGCAGGTTGATGCCAGGGTCGGAGACTGCAAAGCCTAAACCCTTAACCAAAGGAAAGTACACGTGGGGAATTTAGGGTATATAGGGCTTCTATAAGGCTTCCATAAGGTATATAGACCTTCTACAAGGCTCTTATAACGGTAACTACCCACCTGAAAATGTGCTAGATTTAACGTGAACCACGACAACCTACCGTTTTGGCGGGTCCCTATACATACCATACGAGGCTACTAGGGTTTATGGTAAGAAAAAGTAGGTTATGGTAGAGCCTCCCTGTGGCCCAAAACGCCTACAATTTTCAGGAACTATATCTAGAAACCATAAAAAAGGAACCCTAAGATAGTAGTAGGTCTTTTCGGCTACAGGTAAACCCTGAACCCTAAACCTTAAGTTTAAGGTAGAAGTCAACCCCCCGAGCTGAAACCGTGAGAAGAGGCCCGTGATCCAAAAGGACCTTAATATATCGGGGCCTAAATATTTACCAATGGGTGTTAGGGTTTTAGGGTTTAAGGCCTAGGGTTTGGGATATGATTTACCAATACTAGCTCCGCACTAGTACCCTTTTGCACTTTTTCTTTGTGGGCCCCTTTGCTGAAACCGAACAATAGGAAAAAGGGTGCTCTTTTACTTAGTGGGAAGCTAGAATATTATTTGGTGGTTCTTTCTTAAAATTATAGTAGATCCTTCCCCAAAAGCCCTGTGATCAAGATTCAGACCCCTATACTAAGCCCTCGGAGTACCCTTATGCCATAGTATCCCTTATAAAGGAACCCTTATAAAGGAACCCTATTAAAAGTATGAAGGCCTCACTATTTGTGACCCTAAACCCTAAACCCTAAACCCTAAACCCAAAACTCTGATCCCGACAGGGCGGCTACTTCTTCATGTGCGGCCCGGCCGTCGCCACGCCGTCGGTGCAGAAAGCGCTGAAGGCTCATGGTTTTGGGTTTTGGGTTTAGGGTTTAGGGTTTAGGGTTTAGGGTTAGGGTCTTGGGTTTAGGGTTTGGGGTTTGGGTTTGGGGTTTAGGGTTTAGGGTTTTGGGTCTTGGGTTTTGGGTTTGGGGTCTCTGGAAAGAACCAGGGGGCTCTTCGCGGATTCTGCGCTAAGCCTGATATCCTGAATCCAAAGCCGCTCTCCCCTAAGCATCCTGCATACGTACACAGTAGAAAGCCGGCTTTCTATGTGAGGAATTGTGATGGTGGTTCGTGTAAGTGTCCACCATATGAGTATATCAAACTCGCTGCAATCCTTTAGGATTCAGTTTCAGGTACATCGGACCTTGTGGCTGCATGAGGTTCCAAGAGCCTTCAGCAAGGCACAAGTCTCAAAGCGTGGTCCGGAATGGTTCAGTACCAATTACCAGTACTATTCCTGAAGGTTCCTTACAGGCCCTTCTGTTCGGGTGCAGCGTGATTCAAAGCATGCTCATCGATCCCTCATAGAACCCTCATCGAACCCTTGATAACATAGAGTCCCCACTCATTGACCCTGACAGGACGCTATAGGCCCCATTAAGTTAACGCCTAAGCCCTATCCTAATCCCCAAACCCTAAACCCCTAAACCCTAAACCCCTAAACCCTAAACGCTAAACCCCTAAACCCTAAACCCTTTCAAAGCACAACAATCTCGGACGAAAGGCGGCGTTGGTCAAGCACGGCCAAAATGCCCGGAGCTGAGCAGAGCTGGCTTTCCTTCCTAAACTCGGATTTTGGGATAAAGTGGTTTAGGGGTTGGGGTTCAGGGTTCCGGTTTGAGGGTTTTCGGAGCCAGGGTTCAAATTTTTAGGGGGCAGGGAGGGTTTAAGGGTTGAGAGGTGTGCGGTTTAGGGTGTAGGGGTTTTGAGTTTAGGCTTTATAGGGGTTTGGGCTTTGGGGTAGTAGTGCTCGGAGCATGTTTAAGCAGTATCTCCTAATAGTTCCCGCATAAATATACTAGAACTTATCCAAATTAGGCCTCGCCCTAGACTCCTAGACCCTAAATTGAAGCCTTAATAATACATTACCAATATTCTTTTGGGGGGGTTCCTTCTTACAATCACACTATAAAGGAGCCCAAGCCCCTAAAGTAGTTCCTTTTTTGGGGTTGATATATAGAATCCTATAAGGTAACTCCAAAAAGGAAGTACTATGGGGCCCATGGGTCAGGCCTCTATGAATCCGGGGTTCCGGTGCCTCAGGGCTCAGGCAGCATAGGCTCTGCCTCCTCAGGGCTCCTCGCAGGGCTATTATAAGGGGTTTAGGGTTTAGGGGTTTAGGGGTTTAGGGTTTAGGGGTTTAGGGTTTAGGGGTTTAGGGTTTAGGGTTTAGGGGTTTAGGGCTTAGGGGGTTTAGTAGGGTTTGCAGGAGACCAAGGTCTCCTATTTTTGCGGCTTAGCAGGGCGTGCAGGATTTATTTGGCCTCGGGTTGAGGGTTTTAGGATTCAGGATTCACGGCTCGGGGCCCATGAATATAGGGTTTAGGGTTTAGGGTTTAGGCTTTAGGGTTAACTGTTGATATGATCCTGCTCGCTGAAATTCGTAGCGCCCTACATACCCACGTGAGGAGATGCGCATCGGCCATTTCTGAAGCAAAGGCCTCGAAGCCCGGAAGCCACAGACAAGCCTGCAACAAACGTCGGTTTGGGTACTACTCGACCAAGTAAATCCCTCTAATGCCCTACCCTAAACCCTGAACCCTAAACCCTAAACCCTAAACCCTAAACCCTAAACCCTAAACCCTAAACCCTAAACCCTAACCCTAAACCCAAACCCAGCCCTAAACTTGTAGTCTTCTGACCCTTGGGAGGCCGCGAAGCACGCCGAGAAGGACATGTGGCCGACGCCGAAGACGGATGCTGAAGCCGAACTCTGGTTCAAGGACCGGGCCCTTAATTTTGGGGGTAGGTAGGTAGGTAGGTAGGTAGGTAGGTAGGTAGGTAGGTAGGTAGGTAGGTAGGTAGGTAGGTAGGTAGGTAGGGGTCCTTACTATAATGATATCCTTACTATAATTATGGTATAATATAGCCCCAAAACTCTGCTCTGATGGCCCCTATATTCAGGTTTCAGAGGGTTCTTCGGGGTAGAAACTTTGCAGTTTCGGGTTGGGGGGCCTTCGGCTTAGTGCTTAGAGTCTGAGGGTTTAGGCTTTAGGGGAGCTTTCGGTTTAGGGGGTTACCTATCATAGTGTTCATTGTAGTTCCTTTTTTTTTGGGATTACACTTTGAGAGCCTACATGTAAAAACGGTTAAACCGAAAAAGGAACTACTATGGCACAAGCAGAGAGCAGTATTTTCATGGGTGGTTTGCACGGGCTTTGTACCCAAATCCCCTGCGTTTTTTCAGGACTGATGTAAGGAACTCATAGTGAGGAGCACGAAAAGGGATAGGTTTTCTTGGGTTCGGTTTGGGACTGAAAGACCTGACCTGATGTTTCGGGTATAGCATCACCCTATGTACTAGGGTTTTAATGCATTGGGGTCAGCAGGTTCATGGCCATGAGGTTTCAGGGTTTCGAGTTGTGCGGCTTTTGCTTTTTATTGGTTCGTGCTTCATGAAATGTGGTATAAACCCTAAACCCCTTGAGGGTTCCGGAGGAAAGGCAGAGAGTCGGAGATGTATTGGGTGGGGCTGAGAGACGCAGTGTCGAGCAGGCCCACATCGAAACCCAAAGTCCAGAGCCAGAAATCCCCGATTCCAAAACCTCAGGTTCAGCCAAAAGTTCGAACACGTTCCATTTTTGCAGGGACCCGGAAGAACTATGCAGCATTGGCATGGTTTGCATACCCAAGGCATTTTCTGATATGTCCTAAACCGGATCCACTCCTCTGAACAATTCTTTCGGGAGTTCTGGTTCTGGCTACAAAGACGGCTCGGAGTGTTGTCAAGACAGCAGGAAGTCTAGGGTGCGAGGGTTTAGGGTTTAGGGGTTTGGGTGTAGGGTTTAGGAGTGCATGGTTTGGGCGATGGGGAGCTGAGGATTCGAGGGTTTAGGGTGTAGGGTTTAGGGACAGCTCAGGCTAGTTTGTAATCGGTTAACTGAGCCACGATCAGAATATTCATCACCGACTCCACTACAATTTCGTATGCTTCATGACTCGAAGTCCTAAAAACCCCCAAGCCCCAAAACCCTAAAACCCTAAACTTAAACCGTGTACCCGCTGCCATGTTCATCAACACCTTCCCTTCGTCATCACCATCATCACTGCAGCTTTTGCATTGATGAAACGGGAAAGCCTAAGCTCACAATAAGAGTAATAAGCAGCAATAACAAAATATTGACAATAATGATGATAATAGCAATAGTAACAATCGTAATAATAGTAGTAATAATGATAGTAGTGGTAATACTGGTCCTGTGTAGTGGTAATAGTAACAGTAACAGCAAAAGTAATAGTAATAGTAATAGTAATAGTAATAGTAATAGTAATAGTAATAGTAATAGTAATAGCGAAAAGTAAGAGTAACAGTAATGGTAATAGTAGTAATAATAGTAATAGAAATAGTAATAGAAATAGTAATAGAAATAGTAACAGTAATAGTAGTAATTAGTTATATACGAATAACTAACAACAACATCCTGCAAAGCTTCCCAAATGTTGAGTATACGAACTAAGCCCCAAAACCGAAACCCGAAGTGCACGCGCAGGATTTCATGGCTGCGGGACGCTACTCAGAGGAGTCGTACTAAGCTCCTCGACACGAGTGCTCTGAAAGCGCTCACGTTCCAACTCACGATTGTTTCAAAAGAAACTCTGCACTGGGAGCTGTTTTTGAAACCCACTGCAAGTTCCAAATGTCATCTGCAAGTCTTTGCAAGCTGCAGCCTGCCACTCAGCAAGCACAGCAATGATGTGCATCCGCTCGTGGACGCTCCGCTGACCCAGCAAGGCACGTGATTCGCTGCAGACAAAGGCTGGACACCGAGCAAGGACGTACTACCTACAAAGATGGGCCATCAATAGAAAATCACTAGGGTCGGGCGCATGCTGCACCATAGCTTTGGCATAGACAAGAACCAGACTGCACCGTAGTATGGCGCTTGGGTTTGGGTGTATAGTACCCCTAAACTGTCAAGCCCCTGAACAGCCCACCGCTTTCAGGACTTATACGAGGAAATCAGACCAACGAGTGCCAAACACGGTGGGTTACTTAGGGCTTAGGTGGACCCTAAACCTCGTGCAAATGTATCAGGCGCCTCAGAAGGAATGCATGACATCATCGATCGGAGAGTTTGGAACACACCAGCCCATGGGTACATCTACAGGTGTGCAAAAAACCATTACGAAACATTTTCCTACGTCACACCCCACGAACCCTATGCCCCCCACCTCCCCCGAAACCCTAAACCCTAAACTCCCTAAGCCTTATTATTCCTGACCCTACCTACCCGCCTTGAACCGTAATCCTTAGACCCTCAAACAGTAAAAACAACAATCACCTTATGCCGTAAGTCAGGTAGATCTCCTCACACGACTCAGACCCTTAACAGTAGTACCTTTCGTGGATGACTTATTTTCTGGTGTCTTATTTTTTGGTGAGGAGCTTTTCTTAAGAGACTGAAGGTAGCCCAAAAGAAGGACTACGTTTGAAGGGTCTAGGTAGTCTAGGGATGCCGAAGTACGCGCCAAGGCAAGGCTTCGAATTAAGGCTACTTAAAGGATCATGGGACTTAGTAAGTAGAGTTATAATTAGGGTAACTATACTTATAACCCCAATTAAGGGGCTTGTAACCTTACTTACTAAGTCCCATGATCCTCCAAGTATGGTTAGGTAGCTCATGGAGGGTTTTCGGGGCTCACGGCTTTCGGGTTTTAGGGCTTTCTGGGTGTAGGGCTTTCGGGGTTTAGGGCTTCCGGGGACGAGCAACTATGTTATGCAACTTAGAAATAATTAGGTCCTACCCAGTCAGGATTCATCTAGTAATTACTCGCTCGCGCAGGCTACCGGGGACCCCCAGAAGGCTAGTCAAGAGCACGCAGGTAGTCTACAACTGAGGCTCTAGAATCGGGAAGATTGCGCAAACACTCGGCAGTGTTCGGCGCCCTGGCGCGAAGAGCGTGTGGAGTCAAGTGAGCCTGTGGTTTTGAAAGCCGCGAAAGTTCGCTGGCATCCACTTGAAACAGAGGCAGCAAGCTTGCTAATTCATTTCCGTGCAGAAGGGCTGTATCGCCCTATAGGCCAATAGGTTTCCACATCATGGTGACTTTGCCGCAGCTTGCTGCGCTAGACAGAAAGAGCAAACAGCAGGAGTAGTCTCCGTCATCCGTCACCTGCACCGAAACTTAGTCCATGGTTTCCAGGGCATCCCACAGGCGCTAGAAATATGGTTGGATGCCTTATAAGGTGTAGAAGCTAATCGAGAAATTACAGCAAATGTTCAGGAGTTGCATAAGGAGTAGCTGTCAATAAGGCCGCCAAGAACATGGGGCGCAGGACGGTCAAAAAGGTTCAGGGCACCAGCTCAAACTCGTCGCGTGCAGGGGTAAGCAAGACCGGATTCCGGAGTTTGGTGGGGTTGGTTAGCAAGGAACCCTTAGACCACCCTTAAACAGGAACCCTTAAAGGAAAGCCTTAGAGGCACGATTGACTAGAGTTATATTGCTGGACTCGTGACACATGCTTGGAGTATGTGCCTTCGTTAGATTGAACATCTGCAGCGGAGTCTCTCGCAGTACCTTATTACCATGGCATTTAGGATATGGGGTCCAGGGTAGAGTGTTGAGGGAGAGTGTCATCATATGTAGCACTGACCTACCATCTTTTTGCGCAAGGTCCATGTGGTTAGCATGCAGCGTTCCCTGCGATGCCCCGACAAATGTCCGAACATTGCGAGTTTCGACAGCCTTCTGGCACATTTTGTAACCACGCAGCTGTTCGGACATGTTGGGGCATCGTTGCTTCCCTGGAACGGGGTTCGGAGACGGAGGTGCAGCGGATGCTTGTGTTGGCACGCCACCAAGGTTAAAGCTATTTCTATATAATCGCGTAACCACAACGTGCATATTTTCTGAAAGTTCCAAAAAACAAGAAGTGGAAGATATGCCAGAATGCTTGAAGCCAATCGCAGCAACGCCGGTAGGCCCGCACATGCATCTGTCGAGATTGCCTGCAGAAGACCGCCGGCGGGCTGTGCGAAACAGCATGGCCCGGCAGCACTTTGTCAGAACGTTGGCTTCTGATGCTCGGTTTGCGGGCACGACTATGTGCCCCTGACCTCCTGAGGACAAGGGGAGTGGAGTATCTTTTTTAGGGTTTAGGGTTTAGGGTGCTGCCAGTTGAAGCTTCTTTCCCGCTTGCTCTTCGGAACATAGAAAAGCACCCACCCACCTAGAGAATCCCAAGACATTAAGACTTGTACAAAGTTTATTATCTTCAAGCTCCAAACGAAATCCCAAACCCCAAAGGAAACCCCAGACGGAACCCTAATCAGAATCCTACAACGAACCCTAAGCGAAACCTTAAAGCCGTAGCTGAAACCTCAGACGGAACCCTTCCTAGACGGAGCCACAGAAAGAACCCTAAGCGAAAGCATCAACGATGCCCTCACCGAAACTCTAAACAGAACCCTACAATGATTCGGACTACTATTTCAGGGTTCGGACTACTATGATGGGCTTCGGACCATTGTTTCCATTGTAGGCTTTGGGCTATTCTTGAAGGTTGTGGACCATTATTCTACGCTTCGCACCATCTCTAGCCCGGTTCGGACTATTATTTTAGGGTTCGGACTACCTCTTCATAACAACAGAACTACCTTTAATGATAGTAGCAGTAATAATAACAATAGGGGACTTTTGATTCAACCCTAAACCCCAAACCCTAAACCCCAAACCCGGGTTCGGGCTATTGTTTTAGGGTGCGGACCAGTGGGTCTGGACCTTGCCCACGAAGCGCCTTGCCCACGACCCTTGCCCACGAAGACACGACCCTTGCCCACGAAGAAATGACTCCTGCCCACGAAGATCGTTAAGGTTTAAGTTAGATTACTATTAGCAAGAGAGGGTTTAGGGTTTTTAGGGTTTAGGGTTTGACATGTTTTAGGGTTAGCTGAGTAGAAAACCTTTAACCTTCTGGGGTTTCTACAATCCTACAATAACTACAAAGGCTAAACCCTAAACCCTAAACCCTTCTTTGGGCTAGCATCAGGCCCCGCCCTTTACGACACTTATGTGAGATCCTGGGGTCCTTTTGGGGGCCCCGGAGAGAAGAAGCTGACAGTTTGGGGTTTAGGGTTTAGGGTTTAGGGTTTAGGGGTTAGGTGTTTAGGGTTTCGGGGTTTAGGGTTTAGGGGTTATAGGGTTTAAAATTACATCCAGCAGCATGAGCTGCTGAAACCCACATCTGAAGATGCCTTGGCAACCAGAGCCCTTAGCCCAAAGACTTAGCCCTGGAGTGTCAGAGTCTAATATGTTTTCGACTTAACTGAAGCCTTCCCGTGTTGCGGGTTGAAAAGTTTCTTGCGAAGGGTTTGGGGTCTAGGGTTTAGGGTTTAGGGCAGGGTTTAGGGTTTCGGGTTNNGGGTTTAGGGTTAGGGCTTTTTGGTGTTCAGGTGGTTTAGGGCTGGGCGGTTGTGGGTCTCGGGCGAAGCTTTTGGGCTGTCACAGAGGCAAGCGTAAATCCTGACCTCAGGGTGTAGGGTTTAAGATGACATGCGCGTACAAATCCTCAACCCTATGTCTGAAACTCTTCCAATCCTATACACCGCAATCTCTGGTAGTAGACGCCATAACCCGAAAGATCCTACTCAGACCGCTAAATCCTCAAACTCCACAATTCCTGAAACCCTATCCGGAAGCGGATATCCTACACCTGAAACAATGAACTACCAAAACCTGCTGTCTTGTAGCAGCTCTATAGTTACCGAGGCTTAGAATCAGCACCTGCACAGGAGTAGGCTCTTGTGGTTAAAGGTTAACCCTGGAATCCCTCCTTGGCCTCAGAATAGTTTCCGCGTGAAGCATCGGTGTCTTTCCCACCACTCGCTGCGAAGAAAGAAGCATGGCCTTCCCTGCGACTGATGATTGTTTTTGGCTTTCTCTGCGACTGATGAATGTTTTTTTCGAGTTAGTTTGTAGAATGTTATGCGCTTCCTTTGGCAGAGTGTTTTCAACATAGACGTGCTTACTTTACTTCGAAGGCAGGCGGATATGGGTAGAAGGTGCGGTGCCGGGTTGCCGTTCAGGGGTTGGGGCTGAAACTTTAGGATGCTCTAAAGTCCAGAGATTGGACATACAGCCTTACTATCGAGGTTTGATTGGGGTAAGCGAGGCTTGCAGGAGTTGAATGTCGTAGCCCCGTAAAATTTGTCAGCATATTGATATACCTGCAGGGTCCCTGCATCATCCCTAAACCCTAAACCC